AAAGCAAAATGAGTAATAGCGGATAATCATAATGACATAAAAATTACCATAAACATAAGAAAGGATGCTCATACGAGAAATGCAAATTCAAGTGAAACCATTATTACCTGTCAGGAAAATTGAACAGCTTGTCTGTACACTCTTGCTGAGACCAGAGGAGCAGTCACTCATACTTTGCTGGTATGAATGCAAACACAGACTGTGATTAGAATCTGATTAGAGGGCTAGATACAAATAAACCCTTAACTTTTTTTTTTTAAGATTTTATCTTTTGGTAATTTCTTTACCCATTGTGGGTCTCGAACTCACAATCCTGAGATCAAGGTTCACATGCTGTATCGACTGAACCAGCCAGCCAGACGCCCCCCCGACCCCAAAGATTTTATTTTTAAGTAATCTCTACACACAGCATGGGGCTCACACAACTCAGAGATCAAAAGTCTCATACTCCATCGACTGAGCCAGCCAGGCTCCCCAATCCTGAAATTTTAAAATAGAAATATTGTAGTGATACGGGCAAGCAATTATGAAAAGATTTTAGATATATTACAGGATCCAGCAAATGAGTAAATGTGTTGATGTTGGGAGTCAGCATTTTACTGTGGTAAAAAGGACATGCAAATCTAGGATATAAGGAAGGCAAGAAAGAACTCTGTGGGGATAGATTAGAAATAGAAGTATTGATAGGAACTTTCGGTTCTGAAGCATGTGTGTATGTGCATATTTACATGCACATGTATATTTGTACCTACTTGCATATACACGTGTATTTTTTTTTAAGCTCTGTTCACTGAGAGAACTAAGAGGCTGCTGAGATTGCACAAGTAGTAACAAGCACACCCATGACCTAAATCTTTGGTTTAATAATCAATAATCATTTCCCACTAAAAGGAACCAGGGCTTTTCAGAGAAATGGCTAATTGCAAGGATGGGCATGATGGGTATAAGATGAGCCTGGAACATCTTGTAAGCCAGAAAGTAAAGAAGTGTCCAGAAAAAGCGATGAGGGCATGTCACAAGGACATAGGAACCAGCTTGAAGGAGGCTTCCATTGCCCAAATCTGGGACTATTAAACATCAGAATAATTATGTCCAATTAGGAATTATAAGCCATTGAAAAATAAATTTGTGAGTCCATGCTGATAATATATAAATGGAGAAAAGGAAGGTCTTGCCTCCGTGCCAGAGTTAGAAAGTCCCCATTTTGCAGCTATCATGATGAAGATTGGAACAGGCAAGAAACATCAGTGGTTTTAGTTTTTATTTTAAGCTACTTTTAGACTTACAGAAAAGTTATAAAAATAATAGAATTTCTGTGTAGCTTCCATAGCACCTGACATAACCTTAGTCAGAATTTTAAGAATCAAGAAATTAGCATTGGTGCAATACTATTAGCAAACCGGTTTATCTACTGATGTCGTTTCTCGCCCCCCAGAATCCTGTTCAGCGTACAACACGCACTTGTTATTGTTCCCTGGTGTTCTGCACTTTGCAACAGTTCCTCGGTCCGTCATTGTTCCTCCTGACCTTGATAACCCTGAAGAGTATTGATCGGTTATTCTGCTGAATGTCCCTCAGTTGGTGCCTGTCTGGTGTGTCCCTGACAGACCAGGTTAGCCTGAGGTCATTCATCTCCGATAAAAGGACCCCAGAAATGGTGCTGTGCCTTTTTCAGTGTATTGTTTCACTGTGCTCATGATGTCTATGTCATTCTGATGATACTGACTTTGATAACCTGGTAATGGTGCCTGTTGCTGAGCTTTTCCGTTATACAAGGGGAAAATTAGATGAGCAGGATGTGTGCATGGTCATTGTCTCTTTACGGACTGCTCACTGGGAGGAAAGTAATTACAAAGCGGGAAAATTCAGCAACGCACTTGACTGAGCGACCAGAATTAATATTACCAATGAGGGAGACATGGACATCACATGCCTCCAGGTGTGATGCTACTGAAGGGTGCAGTATCACCTGTGTTCCAGCCAGGACTGCATAGACTCTGTGGTCATGAGAAAACATCAGACATTGCAAAATGAGGACTATTTTATGAAAGAAAAAAAAAAAAGTCTGTTTTTGGACTGTGCCATGAACTTGGTGGTTCCAGTCTCCCAATTAAAAAAAAATTTAATGTGGGACTTAGTGGGTTAAGCGTCTGACTTTCGCTTAGGTCATGATCTCACGGTTCGTGGGTTCGTGCCCTGTGTCGGGCTCTGTGCTGACTGCCAGCTCGGAGCCTGGAGCCTATTTCAGAGTCTGTGTCTCCCTCTCTCTGACCCTCCCCTGCTCACGCTGTCTCTCTCTCTCTCTCTCCTAGAAATAAATAAAAATATTTTTTAAAAAAATTTAATGTTTTCCAAAACAAGGACATGTAATCTTAGTTGACTTTTGAGTTTTAAAATGCAGTAAAAGCATAAAGTCAAAAAAGACGAAAGTTCATCAAAGTGGAGGGAGGAAGGAGGAGGGCTGAGGACAGAAGGGGTAGAAGAGAACTGTGTTTGAGCACCTGTTATGCATTAGGCCCGTGCAGAGTCCTCTACCCGTCCTCCTAACAGTCCTTGGAGGTAGGGAAATGGACCCACGTAACAGTGAAATAATTTGGCTGAGGTTATGAAGCTAGCGAATGTCATGACTGGGGTTCATCTTCTGATTCTGGATCCAGTTGTCTTTCTGTTGGGTTTTTTTGCCCCCCATGCCACACTGCCCTCTAATGAAACAATGGTTTCAAGATGAGTTGGGGTTTCTCAGCCTTGGCACTACTCACATTTTGGACTGGGTAATTTTTTTTTTTTAATATTTTTATTTATTTCTAGGAGAGAGAGAGCGTGAGCAGGGGAGGGTCAGAGAGGGAGGGAGATACAGACTCTGAAATAGGCTCCAGGCTCTGAGCTGGCAGTCAGCACAGAGGCCGACGTGGGGCCCAAACCCACGAACCGCGAGATCATGACCTAAGCGAAAGTCGGACGCTTAACCGACTAAGCCACCCAGGCGCCCCTGGACTGGGTAATTCTTTGATGAGTGGTGCTGTCCTGTGCCTTGTAGGGTGTTTAACAGCATCCCTGGTCTTAATCCATTAGATGATTGTAGCACCCTTCCAGTTATGACAACTAAAAAGATCTCCAGACATTGCCTGGTGTACTCTGGGTTCGGAGCGAGGGACAGAATCAGCCCTGGTTGAGAACTACCCTACCCCCCTCTGAGAGTTAAGGGACGAGTTGTTGGGAGGTTCCAGGCAGAGCAGTCAGGTTACTTCCTTATGTATTTAAGAAGGGAGAGATGGATTGGAATCAGGAAGATCAGGCACATGTAGTTGTGGAAGAGAACAAATTCACTGTTAGATTAGTCTGCCTCTGTAACACTTGTTTCTCTGGATATGGTCAGCCTCACTTTCTCAGTCTTGGCTGGCTGCCGCTTCTCTTCTTAATCCCTGAATGTTGGTGTTTCTCTTCTCTCTACATCTCTCCCTCAATGATCTCTGATGTTTCCGTTGAGCTCTTCACTGAGCTCCATTTTGACATATCCAGTTGGCTACTTGGCGTTTCCACTTGGATATCTTAAAAGTAGGAGTTCTGAGTCCCACGTAAGCTTTGCTAAATCAAACTGAAGCTCAGCGATTTGTTTTAACAAGCCCTCTGGGTGATTCCGATGCTCCCCTGATCCCACATTTTCACCATGTCAATGGCTGGTGCCACATCTACACATTTAGTTGCTTCAGCCAGAAGTGTAAAAGTTCTCCTTGATTTCTTTTCCTTCATCATCACCCCTTTTTCACTTCTAAACTGTGAGGAAGTCTGTCTCTTAGTCTATTCAGGCTGCTGTAACACAGTACGACAGACAGGGTGGCTTAGACACAAGGAACAGTTGTTTCTCATAGTTCTGGAGGCTGGAAGTCTGAGGTGAGAATGCCAGTAAAAGGTCCTCTCCTGGGTTTCAGACTTCACGTTGTATCCTCACGTGGTGGAAGGGCTCGGAGGCTCTGTGGGGTCTCTTGTCAGAGGACAGGTACCATTCATGAGAGTTCGACCTTTATCACCTAATTACCTCCCAAAGGTCCCACCTCCAAATACTGTCACATCGTGCATTAGGAGTCCAACATGTGGATTTTGTGGAGACATAAACATTCAGACCACAGTAAATCCTTTTGATTCAAGCTCTCAAATGTATCTTCTGTCTACTTTTCTTCATCTCCTTTATTAGTTTGCTAGGGCTGCCATTACAAAGTACTACAAATTGAGTTGCTTAAACAATAAAAATTTATTTTCATAGTTTTGGAGACTCAAAGTCCAAGGTTAAGGTGCTTCGCAGCGTTGGTTTCTTTGAGGCTGTGAGAATCTCACCTAGTTTCTGGCAGTTTGGCATTTCTTAGCTTGCATCACCCTGATCTCTGCTTCCATTTTCATGTGGCACACTCACTGTGTATGTGTCTCTGTGTCCAAGATCCCCTTTCTTAGGAGGATGTTTGTTGTGTTAATGCCAATCTTAATGATGGCAACTCATTACATTTACAACAGCCCGGTTTTCAAGTAAGGTCACATTCTGAGGTCCTAGGGCTTGGAACTCCAGTGTGAATTTGGGGAGGGACACTGTTCAACCGGTTACATCTCCCCTGCTGTTTGGTCTAGGCCACTGTCATCTCTCACTTGAACCCTGGAGCAGTCTTCTAATGTATCATTTTACTCATACCCCCCCCCCCCCACCATTCTCTACATAAGGAGCAAGACTGATTTTTTGAAAAAAATGTATCATCACTTTCCTCTTTCCTCATTAGTAGCTTCTCATATACTTAAACAATTGTAGAATGAATATATGAATAAATTTCAGCCTTGGTAGCGGTGCATCATGTTAAGATCTACTCTGCTCTGTCGTAATAAATGTTGTTTTTGACACCAGAGGTCTCTGAAGGATATGAACCTGACAGATGAATGTGTTTCATATTGGGAATTTAAGTCATTGGGTAGAAAAATTGTTGCCAGAGATCTGTAGCTTTTTCTTTTTTGGATTTCAGGTAGCTAATCTCCTTCAGAATCAGGCAGTGAAAGGAAAATCTCCTGGAGCTCTCCTGCGAGCCATCTTCAAAGGTAATAAAAATGAATACTCTTCTCCCTCCCTGTATACATTGATAAATTTGTTTACTTGTGGCACACATTGATGCTTTTCTTACTGTTTGAAGCACCGCTGAGACTTTGCTCTGGGAATTTTACAAAAACAACTAAAGCTGCAGTTTTTTGGGGCACCTGGGTGGCTCATTTGGTGTCCAACTTTTGATCTTGGCTCAGGTCATGATCCCACAGTTAGTGGGATCAAGCCCCACGATGGGCTCTGCTGACAGCACAGAGCCTGCCTGGGATTCTCTCTCCTCCTCTCTCTGCCCCTCCCCCACTCATGAGAATGGACATCCTTATATTGTTCCTGATCTCGGGTAAATCTTTCAACTTTTTTATCATTGAGTATGAAGTTAATCGTGGGTTTTCCATAGATCCCCTTTATCAGGTTAAGGAAGCGTATCCATCTTTTCCTAGTTTGTTGAGTTTTTATCATGAAAGGGTATTGGATTTTTCAGATGCTTTTTTGTCTGTTGAGATGATATATGTGATTTTTATTCTACCTGTTCTATTTATATGGTATCTTACATTGATTATTATACATTGACCCAATCTTGTATTCTTGGTAATTCCTCCTTGGTCATAGCGTATAATGCTTTTTATATGTTGCTGGATTCAGTTTGTTAGTATTTGGTTGAGCGTGTTTGTGTTTGTAGTCATGGGGATATTGATTTGTTGTTGTTTTTTTAATGATGTCTTTGGTTTTGGAATTCTGGCTTTATAGAAAGAGTTAGGAGATGTTCCCTCTTCTTCTGATTTTTGGAAGAATTTCCAAAATAATTGGAGTTAATTCTTCTTTAAACATTTGGTAAATTAATCAGTGAAGCCATCCAGTTCTGGGCTTTTCTTTGTGGAAAGTGCTTTGGCTGCTAATTCAATCTCTTATTATAGGACTGTTGAGATTTTTTATATTTTTTGAATTAATTTTGCTGGTTTGTGTCTTTCTAGCAATTTATCCATTTCATCTAAGTTCTCTAATTTTAATGGTGTATATTTCTTTATAGTATTTCCTTATAATCCTTGTTACTGTAAGATCAGTAGTAACACTCCTTTTTCATTCCTGATTAAATAATTTGAATCTTCTCCTTTCTCTATTTTTCTGTAGCTTATTTTATTTAGGTCTGATTTTAGTCTTATATTCTTTTTACTTGCTTTGGGTTTAGTTTGCTCTTTTTATAGTTTCTAATGGTGGAAGATTAGGTTACTAATTTGAGATCTTTTGTGTTGCTCTTTTTTAATAAAGGCGTTTACAACTATAGATTTTCCTCTAAGCACTGCTTGAACTGTTTTCCATAACTTTTGGAATGCTGTGGGTTTTTTTTTCATTCATCTCAAGGTATTTTTAACTTCTTGTGCTTTTTTCATTGACACATTGGTATATATGATTGTGTTAATTTTCATATATTTGTGAATTTCTTGGGTTTCCTTCTCTTGATTTCTAATTTCATTCCATTGTCCTCACAGATCATAAATGGTATGATTACAGTCCTTTTAAATTACTCAGAGTTTTTTATGCTCTGGTACGTTGTTTATCCTGGAGAATGTTCTACGTGCACTTGAGAAAAATGTGTCTTCTGTTGTTGGATGTCGTGTTCTGTAGATGTCTGTTAGATTTAGTATGTTGTTTATGTCTATATCCTTGATGATCTCCTAATTGTTCTATCCACTATTGAAAATAGAGTATTGAAGTTTCATTTATTATTGTTGAGTTGTCCATTTCTCCATTTCTTTTGTTTTTTGCATTGTGTGTTTTGGAGTTCCTTTGTTAGATGCTTATATATTTATAATTATATATATTTTGATGGTGGATTGACTCTTTTATCATTATAAAATGTACTTCTTTGTCTCCAGTAATAGCTTTCCTCTTAAAGTTTTCTCTTTTTTTTTTAAGTTTATTTATTTTGAGAGAGAGTTTGAGTAGGGGAGGGGCAGAGAGAGGGAAAGAATCAGTCCATCAATGAATCTTTCAGCAGAGCTGGACTGGGGCTTCATCTCACAAACCATGAGATCATGACCTAAGACCAAATCAAGAGTTAGACAACTCATTCATTAACCAACTGAGCCACCCAGGTGCCCCTTAAAGTCTTTTTTTTCTTTTTCTTTTTTCAAGTTTTTTTTTTTTTTTTTTTTTTGAGAGAGAGAGAGTGCATGCTCATGTGTGGGAGAGGCAAAGAGAGAGAGGAAGAGAGTGAGTCCCAAGCAGGCTCTGTGCCATCAGCACAGAACTGGATGCAGGCTTAATTCCTGAGGTTCTTGAGATCATGACTTGAGCCAAAATCAGGACTTGGGTGTTTAACTGACTGAGCCATCCAGGTGCCCCAAGCATTTTTTTCTAATATTTGTATGGCCATTCCAAGTTTTTGGTTACTATTTGCATGATATATCTTTTTTTGAGACATTTATTTATTTTTAAGATATTTATTTTGAGAGAGAGCAAGAGAGTGTGAGTGGGGGAGGGGCAGAGAGAGAGAGGGAAAGAGAGAATCAGTCTGTTAGAGAATCTGTTAGTGCAGAGCCAGACACGGAGCTTGATCTCACAAACTGTGAGATCATGACCAGAGCCGAAATCAGGATCAGCTGATTCTTCAACTGAGCCACCCAGGTGCCCCTTTAAGTCTTTTTTTTTTTTTTCCTTTTTTTTCTAATATTTGTATAGCCAATCCGAGTTTTTGGTTACTATTTGCATAGTATATCTTTTTCCATCCATGCTTTAACTTTCAAACTATGTGTCTTTTGAGTCTAAATTGTGTTTCTGGTTGACAGTATATAAATGAATTTTTAAAAATTTATTCTGCCAATCTTTGCCTTTTGATTGGAATGTCTGATCCTTTTTCGGTAGCTATTGGTAAGGTGGGGTTTACATTTGCTATTTTCTATTTGTTTTCTTTATGTCCTGTGTCTTTTTTTACTTTATGTGTCCTATGTTAAATAGATATTTTTTAGTGTACCATTTTAATACCTTTGTTATCTTTTTTATTATATTTTTGAGTTACATTCTTAGTGGTTGCCCTGAGGATTATAACTAATGTCTTAATTTATAACAGTCTAGTTCAGGGCTGGTTAATATCAGCTTAGTTTTAATAGTTTGCAACACTTTGCTCTCTATATAGTTTCTTTCTTCTCCTTCCTATGTGCTATTACGTCATACAAATTCATCTTTACACATATATGTCCATCAACACAGATTTTTTTGTTTGTTTAAAAAAATTTTTTTTTTACATTTATTCATTTTTGAGAGACAGAGCATGAGCAGGAAGGGACAGAGAGAGAGGGAGAGAAAGAATCTGAAGCAGGCTCCAGGCTCTGAGCTGTCAGCACAGAGCTTGATGCAAAGCTCGAACCCAGAACCCTGAGATCATGACCTGAGCTGAAGTTAAACGCTTAACCGACTGAGCTACCAGGCACCCCTGTTTGTTTTTAGAGAGAGCAAGCATGAGCAGGGGAGAGAGGCAGAGGGAGAGAGGGGGGGAAACTCAGACTCCGCCCATGCTCAGCATGCAGCCTGATGTGGGGTTTAATCCCATGACCCTGGGATCATGACCTGAGCCAAAATCAAGAGTTGGACATTCAACCGATTGATCCACTATGGCGCCCCAGTCAACACTGATTTATAATTATTGTTTTAAATAAGTTTTATAAAGAAGAGAAAAAGTAATTATAAATAAAAAATACATTTTTACTACTTTTGTATTTTCTTATGTAGTTATCTTTACTGGTGCTATTTCATGTGGATTCAAGTTACTGTCTAGTGTCCTTCATTTCATCCTAAAAGATTTCTTTAGCATTGGGCAAGTCTTCTGGCAGCAGATTCTTTCTTTTTTTAATCTGGGAATGTCTTAATTTCTCCCTCATTTTTGAAGGATGGTTTTTCTGGTTGTACAATTGTTGGACGGTCCTTTCAGCAGTTTGTGTTATCCCATTTCTTTTTGTTTGTTTGTTTGTTTTAATTATTTTTAATGCTTATTTATCTTTTTGAGAGAGAGTGACAGAGCGCGAGTAGGGGAGGGCAGACAGACGAGATACAGAATCCGAAACAGGCTCCATGCTCTCAGCTGTCAGCACGGAGCCAGATGCAAGGCTTGAACTCACAGACTGAGAGAATATGACCTGAGCTGAAGTGGGATGCTAAACTGACTGAGTCACTCAGGCGCCCTTATCCTTTTCCCTTCTGCCTTTCAGTGTTGGCTGGTGGGGTTGGTTTTTTGATGAGAAACCAGGTGTTAGGTGTATTGAATACTCTTCCAGATGACTTCTCTCTTGTTGCTTTCAGGACTCTCTTGTCTTTTGCTTTTTTTTTTTTTTAAGTGTACTGTTTCAGTGTCCTTAAATACATTAACTATTCTGGAATTCTAATGCTCTGTTGAATAGAAGTGATAAAAATGGACATCCTTGTATTTTACATGTTTTATGGAAATTCTTCTAATCTTTAATAGTTGGGCATGATTGGGGGCACCTGAGTGGCTTAGTCAGTTGAGCGTCCAACTTTGACTCAGGTCATGATCTCAGGGTTCATGGGTTCAGGCCCCATGTCAGGCTCTGTGCTGACAGCTGGAGCCTGCTTCAGATTCTGTGTCTCACTCTCTCTCTGCCCTTCCCCTGCTCTCTGTCTCTCTAAAAATAAACAAACATTTAAAAAAATTTTTAAAATAGTTGCATATGGTTGTTAGTTATAGGTTTTCCACAGATGGCCTTTGTTATGATGAGGAGTCTTTGATCTCAGCTATTTGCTGTGGTATGTCTAGGTGCGGTTCTCTTGGATTTATCCTATTGGAATTTACTGAGCTGCTTGAATGTATAAATTTGTAGTCATTAAAATTGAGAAGCTTTGAGCCATTATTTCTTCTGTTCAGCCCTTTCTGTCTTACTTTTGGGACTTTGATTATGTCTTGTGTTACCACTCATGATATCCCACAGGTCTCTGAGGCTGTGTTCATTTTTCTCCTTTTTCTTTCTGTCCTTCAGACTGGCTCATCTCAGTTCCTCTGTTTTTAAGTTCTGATTCTTTCTTGCACCAGGTGAGATCTGCTGAGACCTTAGTGTCAGCTCAATTATTGTACTTTTCAATTGTAGAATTTTTATTTCTTTACATAATTACAGTTTCTCTTTATTGACATTTGGTATTTGGCAAGACATCGTTCTTAATATTTTCCTTTAGTTCTTTAGGCATAGTTTCCTTTTCTTTGAACGTATTGAAAATAGCTGATTTAAAATTCTTTTTGAGGGGACACATGGGTGGCTCAGTTGGTTAAGTGTCTGACTCTTAATTTCAGCTTGGGTCATGATCTCACAGTTTGTGAGTTTGAGCCCCATGTTGGGATCTGTGCTGATGGTGCAGAGCCTGCTTGGAATTCTCTCTTTCTCCCCTTCCCTTTCTTGCTCTCTCTCAAAAAAACTTTAAAAGCATTTTTTTTAACTTAAATTTTTTATGTCCAAGAGCGCTCAAGCAGGGGAGAAGGCCAGGGAGGGAGATAGAGAGAATGAATCTCAAGCAGGCTCCATGCTCAGTGAGGAGCCTGACGTGGGGCTCAATCCCATGACCCTGGGTTCATGATCGTAGCCAAAATCAAGAGACACTTAACTGACTGAGCCACCCAAGTGCCTGTCCCACTGATTTAAAATCTTTGTTTAGTAATCTAACATCTAGGCACTCTCAGGGACAGTTTTTATTGATTCTCTTTTTTCCTAAATAGGGGCCATAGTCTTGGGACATTTTAAATGATGTTTTGTGGGAACTCCGGAAATCAGATACCACTCTCCTCTTCCAAATGTGCTTTTGCTGTTCTGATGTTCCTTCTGTTTTTACGGTGGCTCCTCTGAACTAATATAAAATATTTATTGTTTGTTGTGTACGGGCACTGTTATGTGTGGCTACTGAAGTCTGTCTGGTTAGCTTTGCAGTTAGCTAATGATTGGGCAAAGATCTCCTTAAATGCCTGGAACCATTGGGTTTCCCAGCCTTGGCTGAGGAGCCCTGTGCATGTCGGAGGCACACCTTCAGTGCTCAGACAGGTGATTTATAACTTGTGGTGAGTCTTTCTACTTGTGCAGAGAGAGCCTCACAGTCCGCTGGAGGCGAGAGTTCAGGATCTTTTTGGGTCTTGCTTTGCCAAGTACACACCCTGTGCATGCTCACAGCCTGAGTGTATTTGTGTGGCTTACGAGTCCCTGGGATACAGCAGAATGTTTCCAGGATTTCCTTTTAAGTGTTTTGGTCAGCTTCTTGCTTGTCCAACTGTTAGTGCTGCCTCAAAGCAACTAAAATAGTAATCAGTTGCAATCGATTTAGACAGATGTCCTGAGTACAAAAGGCTGTTGCAGTGAGTGAGTCCAAAGTCAAAATAAAGACAAGCCTTGGGGCGCCTGGCTGGCTCAGTCAGTAGGGCATGTGACTTTTGATCTAGGGCTGTGAGGTCAAGCCCCATGTTGTGGGTAGAGTTTACTTAACAACAACAACAACAACAAAAGACAAAGTTTGGTAAAGAAAATTTCTAGGGAACAGCCAGACTGGTCACACGACAGTTAATCTGGGAATTGTGCTTTGGAGGTGCTTCAACAGTATTCTCTCCCCTCTAGGTGCTGCTAGGCTGTTGGCATTCACCTTGACTGTGGGATTATTAGTTTTTATAAAGACTACTGGAGCTTGGGGGCTAGGGGGAGCTATGGGAGTTGAGGGCATGTTAAAAATACCACAAAACTCCTTGTTCTTACTGAGATTCAGCTGTTTTTCTTAAGTAAACACTCCCTGGATTATTGCAAGCCTTTGGTTAATTTCCAGAGTTGTGAACAAGTTGGTTTTCATTATTTTGTCAGTGTTCGTACTGCTTTTATGGAGGAAAGGATTTCCTGAGGTCTTTATTTTTCTGCCACTCCTGCTGACATTACTCAGTGATGATGTTTTAAAGTGTAATATGTTAAAGACATTTAACTTGGGTTACTGGACCCAAAAAAGGCTCTAAGATATTTTAGAAGGTATTTCTTTCTGCACTATGAGCTGATTTTAAAATCAGTGAGATAGGTGGAAGAAGAAAAGATGACATTTTGGTCATCCACCTAAATTAAGTACTTTTGTAAAGCTCCTAAATATTGCTGCTCTAAACACCATAGTATTCAGTAAAATGGTAATTCTGCTTCTGTATTTAACTACAATGCTGTTTTTCCTGTTTGCCCTTCAACTTTCTTTTTTCTTTGTTTCTGTACCATTCATTTAAAACAATAAGGTTCCCCCTGCTCTGAGGAAGCTGGAGCTCTTAGGAGACTTAAGGTATACATTCGCTGTCTCCAGTTGGTGGAGTCAGGGGATTTGCAGAAAGAAGTAGCATCTGAGATTTTAGGATTACTAATGCTGGAGGTAAGAGGGTAAATGGGGGTGGGGGAGAGAGTGTTGTAATTTGTTGGGGGAAGGGAAACTTCAATATGCCAAACCTAGCATAGTTCCTGCCTGTGAATAAGAACTACTGTTAAAAAACAGAATAGTTGATGGATGGTCCATAAGCCCATGTTTACAGTACTTTCCCATACGGTGGACATCTGGTATCTCTGAAGAATTGATGTATTTGAAAATGTTGGAGAACTGGTGGAGGGTTCTGACCTTTGAAATCTTTTACAATCTTAAGTTTTGTACCAGAGCAGAATGATTTCCTGGATCCCTTATAGGACCAGTTCTGCGTTTCAATGCCAGTTCTATTAATTCAGCAAAAAACTTTATTTCGTGGAAAGAGAGACCGAACATACAGATATCTGCTTAACATTTTCTTTATCTCATGAATTTTTAGGCTCACTATTTTCCAGGACCCTTACTGGTTGAATTAGCCAATGAGTTTGTTAGTGCAATCAAGGAGGGAAGACTAAAGAATGGAAAATCTTTGGAGTTATTACCCATTATCCTCACTGCCCTTGCTGCCAAAAAGGAAAATGTGGCTTATGGAAAAGGTAATTTTTTTTCCAACTTTAATGGCTTTTTCTCTAGTCACTCAAGCAAATTTATCTCTCACTCTGTTTTTCATGGCTAGGTGAACTATGTGGGGAAGAATGTAAGAAGCAGCTGATTAATACCCTGTGTTCTGGCAGGTGAGTCTCATTAATATTAACTTTCTCAGAGGAGCATGTGGCCAGAAAAAGGCCTGTTTATGTCAGGAATTTTGTATCACAAAGTTGTTAGTCTGTTTTTGCTTATAATGGACCACTGTAAAACCATTTAGTTAGCAGTAAGTTTTTGAGAGATTAGTTACTATGTTTTCTGTTCTAAGACTACATATAGTTTCTGTTTACTTGATTCTTCATCTTAACATAGCAATGTTGTCATCTGGCATTATTTGGAGTCCCAGGTTCCTTAAGGCTGAGAAGTCACCCTCCTGCTATATCTTTTACTTTTTTTGAGTGAGTGGGATATATAAGCGGTGTTGTACCTTTAAGCCGGAAATAGGGGAATTCATCCTAAGAAAAGACTCCAACATAATAAGAAAATCCTCATTCATAAACATGTTCATCACACAAGTTTGTGACCAACTTAAATATACTGTGATAGAGAAATGTAAATTACGATATGTAACCTGTGTACGGTAAGGTAGAGCTGCTCCATGAAATTTAAACACATTAGAAATGAAATATATAAAAGCATCAAAGATGAAAAATCCTTACCATATATTCAGTGAAATAAAGCGAATACAAAGTTGTATAATACAATGATTATGTTTGGGTACATTGAAAAGAACCAGAAGCGAACACCTAAGATTATCTAAATCAGAAATACCAGCTTTTATGGTTCCTTACATAAGTTCCCTAAAATATAAATAATTTTAAGTATGTATCAGCACATGTGTGCCTGTTTGTTTATTTGTTCGATTTTAATTACGCTAAAGTTTATTCAGTACGCATCATAACATACCTTGCATTTTTCATTTACTGCATCTGTTCGTGTCAGAATGTATGACTCAGCATCATCTCTTTTAATAAATAGTTCCATGCTATTCTGTTATATCTGGCTAGTCTCCAATTGTTAAGAATATTTTTTCCAGTAAATAATACATGGTTATTTTGGTTTTTGCTATTATAAAAAGTGGAGTGAGCATCCTTACATATCTAGGTGACATTTTATAAGCATGTACTTGGGATATATTTCTAATACTAATTTGGGTGGGTCTGTGGTTATGTGCATTTTTAAACTTGATAAGTATTGCCAGCTTATCTTCCTAGAAGGGTTATATCAATGTACACTCTCTAAAATAGTATGTGGAGAGCATTTGTTTCCCCAAATCTTCCCAGCATTGATTATTATCAGACTTTGATTTTGCCAGTCTCATAGGTTAAAAGCTGTTATTTCATTGATTCTTTGAACTTGTTTCCCAGTGGTACCAAATCAAACTAGAAATGGCCTTCGTTTTCCCCTCCTTATTAATTTTAGAAAGGAATATGCAAATAAGATGAGATAAACTTTCACATTCTTTGTCATTTTCTTTAACCAGATGGGATCGGCAGTATGTAATCCAACTCACTTCTATGTTCAAGTAAGCATCTTTATTTCCTTTTTATACCCTACTGTGTGAACTTGCCTGCCAGAAATTGAAATTTAGCAAGCTCAAGCACCACTCTCCCCCGAGTAAGAGTAATGGTAACTTTGTTTTCTGTTACAGGATTTTCCTCCTCTGACTGCTTTATTGAGGATTTGACTCTTGATTTTGGCTCAGGTCATGATCCCAGGGTTGTTGGATTGAGCCCCACATCAGGCTCTGCAGTGAGTGTGGAGCCCGCTTAAGTCTGCCGTCTCTCCCTCTGCCCTTCTCCCCAGCTCTCTTTCTCTCCCACAAAAAACAAAAACTGATTTTTTTTAATACTTTGAGAGAGAGTGTGCGAGCAGGGGAGGGGCCGAGGGAGAGAGAGAGATAGAGAATCCTAAGCAGGATCTATCCATGCTGTCAGTGCAGAGCCCGACGTGGGGCTTGAACTCACAAACTGTGATATCATGACCTGAGCCAAAAATCAAGAGTCAGACACTTAACCGACTGAGCCAGCCAGGCGCCCTTGATTTTTTTTTTTTTTTTTTTTTTTAATCTGAGATAACTTTGCTTATGTAAGGTTTTTGGTTCCCTTTAAGGTTCTCTGTTAGAGAAAAACTGAAGGGGCAGTTATAGTATTCTCATATCTCCCAAATAAGGCCATAGCTCTGGCCTTGAGAGTCTTTGATCCACAGGGATGTCCCTTTGACTGCAGAAGAAGTGGAATTTGTGACCGAAAAAGTCTTGAGGATGTTCTCCAAGTTGAATCTTCAAGAAATACCACCTTTGGTCTATCAGCTTCTGGTTTTCTCTTCAAAGGTATAAATAAAAAAATATTGTTTTTCTTTCTAAACTCTACTGGGATGATCAGTTAGGGCCATTCAACTTATTCATACTTCTGGTTTACCTACTAGGGCACAGATGCTTTCATTTCATGTATGATGATATGATTAGTAAAAGGGTCAGGCTCTTCACCCAAGGAAAACATGTATTATTCTTGTACAGCCACATTTAGTGTGTGTGTGTGGGGGGGGGGGGTAGTCAAGGGGGTAAAGATCTCACAAAGGGTGGACTAGCGATCCCTTAACTGAAGTCTGATACCAAGATGTGTTTCAAACCCGATTTCTTTTTTTTTCCTTAATTTTTTAAATGTTTATTTATTTTTGAGAGAGAGATCAGTGAGCAGGGGAAGGACAGAGAGAGAGGGAGACACAGAATCCGAGGCAGGCTCCAGGCTCTGAGCTGTCAGCACAGAGCCCAACAAACGGCTTGAACTCACAGGCTGTGAGATCATGTCCTGAGCTGAAGTCAAATGCTTAGCCAATTGAGCCACGCAGACGTCCCTCAAACCCAATTTCAAGATGAAAAAGTATTCTGTAAACGCTTAGTGTGACTTGAGGTTGTAATTTCTTTGTTTAAATTCATACTCAAGAATCCTCTAAGCTGAAAAGTATTTTAAGTTCAACTTGGTGATCTTGCCCTTTATAGGGAGACCTTACCTAATTTTGTATTTTTTTCCCCCAGGGAAACAGAAAGAAGGCTTTGGAAGGAATCATAACTTTCTTCAATGAGCTAGATAAGCAGCACAATGAGGACCAGAGTGGTGATGAGTGAGTAATACAGTATTGAAATAAAATCATTTTTGCAAAGCATCTTCTTCTGTGTTTTACTTCATTGTTACTTAACCTCTCAGTCCCTGCCTTCACCTCAGCAGAGAACTTGCCTTGCCCTCTTTTAGCTGCTAAGCAATAAAGCAGCCTCTTCAACTCTTTCATTTGTAGCTTTTCCAGAATAGTGGAAATTACTCTAAATTGCAAGTTTATAAAGTGTCTGCTTTGTACCAGGAGCTGTTTGGCCCTGGGACTACAGTGAGGAACCCCTCAGACAGGGTCCCTGCTCTCAAGGGGTTTAAATACTGGTGAGAAGAGAGCAGAAAATAAATAAGACAAATATTAGAAGGAGAGATGCAGATAATCCAAATAGATAGTCTGATAGTGACAGTGTAGCTATTTTAGATTCAGTGGTCAAGGAAAACCTCTTGGAGAGGATGTTATTTTAACTGAAGTCTGGATGATAAGAGCCATGATACATAAATCAAGGAAAAGAACATTCTTTGTGGGGTAGTGAGCAGTGAGTACAAATGCAAGACACCGCATGGCATGTCTGAAAAAGGGGATTTTTTAAAAAAATGTTTATTTTTGAGAGAGAGAGACACTGCGAACGGGGAAGGAGCAGAGAGAGAGGGGGGCACAGAATCTGAAGCAGGCTCCAGGCTCTGAACTGTCAGCACAGAGCCGGACGGGGGGCTTAAACTCGTCATGAACTGTGAGATCATGACCTGAGCTGAAGTTGGCCGCTTAACTGACTGAGCCACCCAGGCGTCCCAAGAGGATTTTTTTTTTAAAGCAAACATTCATAGAGTGCTTTACCTTGTGTCAGGTAGTGTTTTAAGCACTTTAAACCTCACTACAACCCTATTTTGCCTCAACTTCATGCATGTGGAAACTGGGGCACGGGGAAATGAAAGACTATCCCAAGGTTATATAACTGTAAAATGGTGGAGCTGGAATTTCAGTCCAGGCAGCTGGCTGCAGAGCTCATGCTGTTAATCTTGTTGTGGCCTATTGCTTTTACTACTCTAGAGTAACTTTTGTTATTTGGCTTGTGCAACTGATTGGAAGGTGGTCTTTTCTCTCTTGTCTTTTCTTGTTTTTCTTTTTTTAATTTTAAGTAAGCTCCATGCCCACCCAGCGTGGGGCTAGAACTCACGACCCTGAGATCAAGAGTCGCATGCTCTATGGACTGAGCCAGCTAGTCACCTCTAGAAGATGGTCTTATATACTGAGTTAGGAAAGACTGACAGAAAAGCAGGTGTAGACAAAATAAGCTCAGTTTTAACCATGTTAAGTTTAAGATGTATATTAGCATCCCATATGGAGGTATTGAGTTATAAGGAGAGGTCAGGACTGAAGATAAGGGATTAGAAAGAACTAAAGCCATGGGACTGGATGGGGTTTCTTAGGGAAATTGTGAAGAAAGAGAAAACCAAGACTGAGCTCAGAGGCATTCCACCATTTAAAGGGAGATGAGCCCCCCCCCCCCCCCACACACACACGGTGAAGAGTTCACTGACAACAGCCCAGAAGAGTGTTTCAAGAAAGAGGTGGTCATTTTTGTCATATCTGCTGAGGTGTTAATTAAGATGGGACATGATTACTGGTTTTTGGCAACATAGGGGTCATTTGTAAGCCTTACAAGAATAGTCAAATGGGGGATGCCTGGGTGGCTCAGTCAGATGGACATCTGACTTCGGCTCAGGTCATGATCTCAGGATTTGTGGGTTCGAGCCCCACATCAGGCTCTGTGCTGACAGCTCAGAGCCTGGAGCTGCTTTGGATTCTGTGTCTCCCTCTCTCTGCCCCTCTCCTGCTCGTGTTCTCTCTCTCTCTCAAAAGTAAATAAACATTAAAATTTAAAAAAAAAAATAAACGGCATTGAGGGGAGTGGGTAGGGAGGGGATAGAAGCCTAATTGAATTAGATTTAACTGGGAAATGGCAAAGAAGTGGAATTAATGCCAACAGATAATTCTTTCAAGAAGTTTTGTTATATAGGAGCAAGGAATGACAGTAGAATTTGTGCTTAAATGCCTGCCTCCATTGATGGTATGGGTTCAGCTTGAGTTGGGTCTACTTGTTCATCTGAGGATGTGTACAATTGTCTCGTGTTCAAACTGTAGCTCATACCTTTCTGTTGAATCTTTTAGGTTGTTGGATCTTGTTACCGTACCAGCAGGTGAACTTCGTCATGTGGAAGGCACCGTTATTCTACATATTGTGTTTGCCATCAAATTGGACTGTGAACTAGGCAGAGAGCTCCTGAAACACTTAAAGGTAGCCCTAAGTTCTTCAGGTGATCCAGGGATCTCTTCATGAAACATATTTGAATTCAAGCCGCTTAATTCAAGCTAGTTAATAATGACAGGAAGCAAGTGGAAGCATTGTAGAATGACCCTTAATTTAGAAGATGCCTTTCTACTTTGAAAGTAGAAAATACATGATGTCACCACATTCTTAAGCAAGTTCCATTTTACATCCATACCTTCAATGTTCTAATGTTTTAAAAGGAAAAAAAACGGGATGCCTGGGTGGGTCTGTCGGTCAAGCATCTCACTTCACCCCAGGTCATAATCTCACGGTTTGAGAGTTTGAGCCCCACATTGGATGAGCTCAAGCCCTGCTTTTCTCTCTCTGTATCTCTGTCTATCTGTCTGTCTGTCTGTCTATCTATCTATCTATCTATCTGCCCCCATGGGATTCTTTCTCTCTCTGCCACTCACTTGTGCCCTCTTTCTCAAAAAAATAAAAAAAAAGAAAATACTGTTCAACAGGAAACCTAACATTTAATCATAACTCTGTTATTGTCTTATGTGAACTTCAACCTTGACTTCTGTTTCCCCATTTAAGAATTGGGATTTTGCCTATTTCTTGTAGTATATTATGGGATTTTGTGAAATTAAGTCATTCATCATTATGAAATAATAAGATAATAAGTGGAGGTGTTTTGAACTCTTTAAAGAAAAGTAGTATACAGATAAAGGACCTATTTTTTTCCTCCATTTTATTTTGAAATTTTTTAACCCACAGGAAAGTTGAAACACTGTAGCACAATGAGCACCTATATACCTTTCACTTAGATTCACTAGGGGTTTTTTTTAATGTTAATTATTTATTTTGAGAGAGAGAGGGTGCACACGGGGAGGGGCAGAGAGAGAGGAGAGAGAATCCCAAGCAGGCTCCGGAGCTATCCACACAGAATCCCACGTGGAGCTTGACCTGAGCCAAAATTGAGAGTCAGACACTTAACTGACTGAGCCACTCAGGCACCTCTAGATCCACCAGTTTTTAAATATTTTGCCACATTTACCTTATCTTACTTTCTTACATATATTATTTTTCTGAATCATTTAAAAGTAGAAATCCTATTTCAGTGCCTGAATACTTCCACATGGGTTGCCTAAGAATAAGGATTAGTATTGGGGTGCCTTGGGTGGCTCATTGATCGGGAGTCTGATTTCACCTCAGGTCATCATCTCACAGTTCGTGAATTTTGAGCCCCACTTTGGGCTCTGTGCTGACAGCTCAGAGCCTGGAGCCTGCTTTGGACTCTGTGTCTCCTTCTCCCTCTGCCCTCTCTGTCTCTCTCTCAAAGATAAATAAACATTAAAAGAAAAGAATAAGGATTAGTATATTTTAATTGAATTTGTTGATGCATTCAGCCCCATGTGGTTAAACATTTTTAGCGAGACTATTTCATAAGTGATGTATACTTTCTCTTGTCGGGGCTCAGTCACCTTTCTGTAAAGGGCCAGGTACCATTTTATCTTAGACTTTATATTTCTGTGTTGCCGCTACTCAGCACTACTGTTGTAGCAAGGACAGGGGCCGCACATAAGTGCGCATGTGGCCGTGCTCCGGTGAAACTGGTGGGCACTGACATTTGACTTTTCTTTTCTTTTCGTGTGTCATGAAGTATTGTTCCTTTGGTTTTTTTCCCTCAACAATTCAAAAATGTAAAAGTCCGTCCTAGCTCAAGGGCTCTACAGAAATGGGCAGGGAGCTAGATTTGGCCCTCAGGCTGTAGTTTGCCAAACACTGTTCTGTGGCATCAAAATATCAGAAGGCTCATGGCATTTTTTTATGTTTTTTTAATATTTATTTTTGAGAGAGAGAGAGCATGTACGCACGGGGCAGAGAGAGGGAGACAGAGATCCGAAGCAGGCTTTGCACTGTCAGTACAGAGCCTGATGTGGGACTCGAATTCACGAACTGCAAGACCATGACCTGAACCAAAGTTGGACGCTTGACCAACTGAGCCACCCAGGTGCCCCTAAAATAAAAATAATTCTACCATTCCTTCTACATTATTAGCTGGCTTTCTTCCATCAGAAAAACCAAACCCCTCCCTTGCTTATTTGTATATATACTTACTTTTATTATTATTTTTTAAGTACATGCCCAGCATAGTGCCCTTCATGAGGGTTCAACTCACAACTCTGAGATCAAAAGTTGGATGCTTAACCTACTGAGCCACCCAGGTGCCCACCCTCCCTATTTTTTTTGAATGTTATGCACCCGCTAACCTTTTTAATTCAGTATATTCATTATTCATTACTCAAAATGACCCATATTTAGCCAGTTAGATCCTTCAAGCTGGCTTATGCGTCGTCCTGACATGACTTTGGGCACTGCCTACCAAGGTTCACCTTGCTCTGTATGCCATCTGTATGGGGATCAGGCATTTCTCCAAGGAGCTGTAGGTACCCTTTGTAGGAAAGGATATTTAAAGACTATAATGTGGAGCTAGACTTTAAAGTTCCTTTATCTCCTCTGTGTCTGTTCACTCTTTTTTTTAGTTGAGGTTTATATAACTGTATTATGGATTTTTATCAAAGAACCAGTTTTGTATTTCTTGATCTTTTCTACTATTTTTGTTTGTTGGTTTTCTGTTTTAGCTTTGATTTTATATTTTTTCTTTTGTCTTTTGGGTATCATTTCTTTTAGGCCTCAAAGACCCATTTTTTAAACTTCATTGAGATATAGTTTACATAAAATTCATCCATTTAAGTTTACAATCCAGTAATTTTTCATAAATCACTGTTGTGCAACCATCACCATAATCCAGGTTTTAGAACACTTTCATCACCCTATAAAATCCCTCACGACCGTTTTTATTAAAAAAATTTTTTTAAATGTTTGTTTATTTTTGAGTGGGGGAAGGGGCAGAGAGAGGGTGACACAGAATTCAAAGCAGGTTCCAGGCTCTGAGCTGTCAGCACAGAGTCCAGTGTGGGGCTCGAACTCACGAGCTATGAGATCATGACCTGAGCCAAATTTGACACTTAACCGACTGAGCCACCCAGGCACCCCAGCCCCTTTTTCTTTTTTTAAATATTTTTTAATGTTTGTTTATTTTTGAGAGAGAAAGAGCCCTCACACCCATTTTTAGTTAATTCACATTCTCAGTCCCAGGCAACTACTAATCTACTGTCTCTAGATTTACCTTTTCTAGACCATTCCTACAAATGGAATCCTACAATACATGATCTTTCGTGTATGGCTTCTATCATTTAGCATGTTTTCAAGGTTCATCTATGTGGTAGCCTGTGTCCGTATTTTGTTTCTTTTTCTTGTTGAATAGTTATTCCATTGTGTTCATATATCCGTTTGTTTAGCTATTCATCAGTTGATGGATATTTGAATTGTTTCCCCTTTTTGGCTATTATGAGTAATGCTGTTATGAACATTCACATGCAGGTCTTTGTGTGGACATAGGTTTTCATTTCTCTTGGGTAGATAACTACAAGTAGAATTTCTGTGTTGTGATAAATTTATGTGTATGTTTTTAAGAAACTACCAAAGTGGCTATATCCTTGTACATTCCGTCCAGCACTACATGAGGTTCTTGTTTCTTCACATCCTCACCGTTTGTTCTTGTCTGTCTTTTTAATTTTAGTTATTCCAATATGTATGAAACAGTGACTCACTGAGGTTTTGCTTTGGAATTCCTTAATGACAGTTGAACATTTTTTTTCAATGTGCTTATTAGCTGTTCTGATATCTTCTTTGGGGAAATGTCTATTCACATCTTTTGTCAGTTTTGATTTATGTGTCTTAATAGTTTTAAGAATTCTTTATATCTTCTGGGTAGAAGTCCTTTATCATGTGTATAATTAGCAACTGTTTTTCCTGGTTTGTGGCTCGTCTTTTACTTTTCTTAATGGTGTCTTTTGAAGCACAAAAATTTTGAATTTTTATGGGGTCTAGTTTATCATTTTTTTTTCTGGTAAAGTTATGCTTTTCTTTTTTTTTTTTTTTAATGTTTATCTCTGAGAGAGAGAGAGACAGCGTGAGCAGTGGAGGGTCAGAGAAAGAGGGAGATGCAGAATCTGAAGCAGGCTCCAGGGTCTGAGCTGGCAGTCAGCACAGAGCCCGATGCGGGGCTCAAACCCGCAAACTGTGAGATCATGACCTGAGCTGAAGTCGGATGCTTAACCGACTGAGCCACCCAGGCGCCCCAAGTTATGCTTTTCTAAATAATTTTCACCTAATCTAAGGTGTTAAAGATTTTCTGATACATTTCATTTTTTAAGTTCTATAGTTTTAGATCTTAGGTTTCTGATCCATTTAAAAATCTGTTTTCGATAGGTTATGTTCTACTTCTAAGATTGCTGTAAATAATGACTTTTTTCTTTTCTTTACAGGCAGGACAGCAAGGAGATTTCGGTAATAATATATGTCCCTTCAGCATTGCCCTCCTGCTCTCTATAACCAGAATACAAAGATTTGAGGAACAGGTATTTATTGATGACTTCTTGGTTCCTTCTGTGGTTGATAAGGCGTACAGGCAGCCTCCGTTAGCATATTCAGCCAGCAGCATATTCCTCTAGAGGACGTGGGACCGCATTGTTTTCTGGGGGCTACCTGAAGACTTCTTCAGGTAGTGAGTTTATACCTTTATTTCCTGGTGTGGTAAGCCCGGTGGTGAGGTGGGAGTAAGAGTGGAAACCGATCACACAGTCCCTTAAGTGACAACAGTAGGATGTGTAGCTAGATTTTCACCAGCAGCTTTATTATATTGTAGCTTTCTAAGAAATTGTCCTTGATGGAGTTGAAATTAATGAGAACAGGCTACTTGCAAGGATGAAAATATAAAATCCTTTACCCTTTTTTTATCTGTGTTCCCTGGTTGTAGTTCAAATTAGTATTGATTTTAGCTCTTTTTCTCTCATAAGGAATGCTTGTCTTCAGCTCTTTTAAGGTTCCATTGAAAGCCATAATTTTTTTATCTTCGTTTAGTGAAACAGTTATCTTAAGGATACGAGTGTATGGCAGTAAGCATGAACAGTTAACACGGTTAAGATTCTATAGCATGAGCTATTATTTTTTGCTTCATTTTCCTGTTTTTTTCATTATATTAGGTGTTTGACCTTTTAAAAGCTTCAGTTGTTAAAAGCTTTAAGGATCTTCAGCTTCTCCAAGGCTCAAAATTTCTTCAGAATCTAGTCCCTCATCGGTCTTGTATTTCAACCATGATCTTGGAAGTGGTGAAGAATAGGTGAGTTCACGAACCCAAGCCCCATAAAATTAGTGTTAGAAGCTGCAGTGTGATACACTTGTGGCACACCAGAAAAAATTAAGGACTACAGCTATTGACTCCACATATCAAGGGTAAATCCCTTAAAATTGGTCAAGCAAGCTATTCCTATATCAAAAAATCCTTAAATCCCAAGGCTTGATTTCTTGGCCACCTTGATAGCAAGAATACAGAACTGAAGTGGGTGCAACTCTTTCTTGGCCTGAATCTTCATTGGCTTTTTAGGTCAGTAAAAAAAAATATTAAAGTTTTATTAAACTGTTGAAGTTTGAGGCTGATGGATGGAATTGAATTAGCGTTACAGTTGATGAGCAGTTTTAGACAAATCCATTTTAAGTTAAATTGAAAAGACTGGTATGCTGAATGTTATTTTAAGTTCAAGATCTACATTAGCTGTTGTAACAGTCTTTACTGTGTCATGTTTGCTTTGTGGATTAAATAAGTTTTAAAGCTTTATAATTAAAGCCATAATTTAAGGTAGATCTCATTCCATATCTGGGAATTTTGATTTAGATAGAATTTTCATGAGGCTGGCACATAAGGGAAATTTCAGGCTACAATCCATTGTTTCTGGATGGTTCACCCATTGAAAACTATAAAGCTCCCTTATCTTCTCTGTATCCAGTTATTCTTCTTTTTCCTGAGGTTTATAGTTGTATCTCCTATATTTTCCCAAGCCAGTCTCTTCAGATTGGGCTAAAGATACAGGCATATTGGATAGCCACGAAGCGCCTGGAAAGCTGCCCTCCTGGAAGTCCCGGACAGCACCTGGAAACATCTCCGTCTATAGTTAGGGTGGCGTGGACAGTTTCCGCCAAGTAGGACCAAACCTCAGTGAGGAGGGATTTGCAGAGTATTACTAGGCTCCCTGGAATAACCAGCTGGTAATTTATACATACTTGCTGCAGTCAGTTAATTAACCTCCAAATAATTTTATATGGTATGTGATAAATTTTTGGACCCCACTTAGCACATTTTGTTGGTAGTTTATTGTATTGAGTAAGTGTTGTTTTTGGCATGCCCATTGTAACACAGTTACATATTCCTTACATACCCATACATACATAACATATTTCCTTAAAAACCTTCTCTCTTTAAACATTAACTCTCAAAAAATGACAGTACTTGTGGGGAAAATAAGGCCGAGTAGACTTAAAATATATTTGACATTCTAACCAGAACACTAAGATTTTTTTGTTTGAGATATAATTGACAGATAACATTATATTTCAGATTTACAATATAATGATTCAATGTTTGTATGTATTGCAAATCAGTTATCCTAAGTCTAGTTAAAAAGTCCAGTGTATTTTCTTTTTTAAAGTATAATCTACATGCAATGTTACATTAGTTTCAGGTGTACAACATTGATTTGACAGTTCTGTACATTGCTTAGTGCTCACCAAAAGTGTACTCACCTCTGTTACCATATAAGGTTGTTATAATATTTATAGATTATTCTCTTTGCTGTTCTTTTCATCTCTGTGACCTATAACTAGAAGTTGCCCGATTAAGGGTTCGATCCCCACATCAGGCTCTGTGCTGATGGCTCAGAGCCGAGCCTGTTTTGGATTCTGTCTCCCTCTCTCTGCCCCTCCCCTGCTCATGCTGTCTCGCTCTCATAAGTAAACATTTAAAAAACTTAAATGAATATGGGGCGCCTGGGTGGCTTAGTCGGTTAAGCGTCCGACTTTCGCTTAGGTCATGAACTCGCGGTTTGTGGGTTCGAGCCCCGCATCGGGCTCTGTGCTGACTGCCAGCTCAGAGTCTGGAGCCTGTTTCGGTCTGTGACTCTCTCTCTCTGACCCTCCCCTGCTCACGCTGTCTCTCTCTCTCTCTCTCTCTCTCTCTCCTAGAAATAAATAAAACAAAAACAAAACAAAACAAAAACATAAATGAATAAATTCATTTCTGCTTCATACTTGTTATGCCCTTTCACTTACAATGATTCATATCTTTCTTAAACTCTGTTTTTCTCCTTATTTTCTTTCATCCCTCCCTTTCTTATCTCCGTTCTCTCCTATTAGCTGTAAGAGTTTTTTTTTTTAATGTTTGGCAGGGAAGGGGCAGAGAGAGAGACACAGAATCCAAAGCAGCCTCCAGGCTCCAGGCTGTCAGCTCAGACAGAGCCCAACTTGGGGCTTGAACCTGTGAACTGTTGAGATCATGACCTGAGCCAAAGTCAGACGCTTAACTGAGTGAGCCACCCAGGCGCCCCAACTGTAGGATTTCTTGATCTGTGTGCCATGTCTCTTAATTTTTCTTTCAAGTTTTTCATATTTTTGTCTTTTTATATGAAATTCTACCAAAATCCCTTAGTTCTTTTATTTCATTAATTTGTTCTTCAGGTCTGTTTATTTTACTCTTAGGTTTGTCTACTGAGTTTTACACTCCAGCAGTTATGTTTTTCATTTCTAAAATTTACAGTTGGTTCATTTTTCATAGCAGTGTTCTTTTTATCTCATGCTGTAATACTAATTATTAAGGATATTTTTTAGACTTGTAAAATCTCCTGTTGGTTCCATTCACCTTTTCCCTCAAGTGTTAGTTCTTTTCGTTGAGTTTGGTGCTTCTCTTTCAAGGTGGTGTTTTTTTTCTTCTATATGATGATTATTGGTCGTCTCATTATTATTTTTGGTGTTCCCTGCTTTGTTCAAGAGCGCCGTATCTGTTTAATAGGGTGTGCCAGGGCTCAGCCTCCCTGATTCTGCAGCATGTTCTCATTCATTCTCTCAGAGTGCTGCTCTGCCTCGGAGGCCAAAAGCTCCTCCACGTGGAGATCCTACCTGTCAACAGGCCTCCGTGTTGCTCACTTCTTCATAAACTGGGAGTACAGTGAGCTGTCGGGGAAGAAGGTATAGAGAAGGATGCTGTGTACCCAGCTGTTCATGCGGGGGATTCTAGCCGGTTGTCACAGACATTGCCTGAGTTCCTTCCAGTCCCTGGCATATCTGCCCTTGGTGTCTGCTTTTGGAGCCACCGCTTCATCTTGCACTATGGTCAGTGGCTTCATCTTTCATTCTTGCGTTACATAACTTTTCGCTTTCTTTTTTAAAATAGGCTCCACACACAGAGGGGAGCCCAACATTTGGGCTTGATCTCACCACCCTATGATTAAGACCTGAGCTGAGATCAAGAGTCAGATGCTTAGCCAAGTGAGGCATCCAGGCACCCTTACATTTCTTTCACTTTTTAAGGATTCTTTATAATTTCTAGTCCATGAAAAATGCCTCTTATTTTTCCACATTATTATGGGTTGTATATATGTACCGTATATAGGCATATGCACACAGGTGTGTGTATCTTTTCCATCACTTGTAGGGTTTTGGTATGAGAAGATTGGAGCATGTGCTCAGTCCATTATCTTGATCCCAGATCTCCAGAGTGTGAATATTATTAAAGTCTGTCAGAATATTATGAGAATCTATTCACAACTGTCTCCTTTATTCTTTAATGCTGTATTATAATTTGTGGCTGTTTAACAGGTAGATATAATGATATGAAGGTTACTATAAGCATATCATTTCCACTAGAGTGGGTAACATTTTTTTTTTTTTTTTACAAATAGTTTATTGTCAAATTAGTTTCCACATAACACCCGGTGCTCATCCCCACAAGTGCCCTCCTCCATGCCCATCCCTCCTCCCCCCCACATCCATCAGTCCTCAGTTTTTGTCAGCATTCAAGAGTCTCTCATGGTTTGCCTCTCTCCCTTTCCCCCACCATTTCCCCCCTTCTTCTCCCGGTTGGTCCTCTGTTAAGTTCCTCCTAGTCCTCCTATACGTGCACACATATGATATTTGTCCTTCTCTGCCTGACTTATTTCGCTCAGCATAACACCCTCAAGGTCCATCCATGTTGCTACACATGGCCAGATTTCATTGTTTCTCATTGCCATGTAGTATTCCATGGTATAGATAAACCACATCTTCTTGATCCATTCATCTGTTGATGGACACTTAGGCTCTTTCCATGTTTTAGCTATTGTGGAGAGTGCTGCTATGAACATTGGGGTACATGTGCTCCTATGCCTCAGCATTTCTGTATCCCTTGGGTAAATTCCTAGCAGTGCTATTGCTGGGTCATAGGGGAGTTCTATTGTTAGTTTCCTGAGGAACCTCCACACTGTTTTCCAGAGGGGCTGTACCAGTTTACATTCCCACCAACAGTGTAGGAGGGTGCCCGTTTCTCCACATCCTCGCCAGCATCTAGAGTTCTCTGATTTGCTCATTTTAGCCACTCTGACTGGCGTGAGGTGGTATCTCAGTGTGGTTTTGATTTGTATTTCCCTGATGAGGAGGGATGCTGAGCATCGTTTCATGTGTCTGTTGGCCATCTGGATGTCCTCTTTGGAGAAGTGTCTGTTCATGTCTTCTGCCCATTTCTTCACTGGGTTGTTTGTTTTTCGGGCGTGTAGTTTGGTGAGTTCCTTATAGATTCTGGATATTAACCCTTTATCTGATATGTCATTTGCAACTATCTTTTCCCATTCCGTTGGTTGCCTATTAATTTTCTGGGTTGTTTCCTTGGCTGTGCAGAAGCTTTTAATCTTGATGAGGTCCCAACAATTTATTTTTGCTCTTGATTCCCTTGCTTTTGGGGATGTGTCAAGTAAGAAGTTGCTGCGGTGGAGGTCAAGGAGGTTGTTTCCTGCTTTCTCCTCTAGAGTGTTGATAGTTTCCTGTTAGAGTGGGTAACATTAAATGGTATAAAATGACCAAGGATTCTGTTGCTATGCAAAAAGTTATTTGTAGTTTTAGCTCATGCTTTTGAAACCAGATTGTGCATTGATTCATACTATAAGATGAATTTGATATAAATATGAATGTAAATATTCCTGCTATAAATATTTACTGTGTGCCTCTAAATGCTAGGGTTAATGCCAGGCTGTATGAGTAAAATTAGGACCACAAGATGGTCTCTACCATAAAGGAACTCAGTCTGGGAAGGGAGGCAAACTTAGTAAGCATGTGTAGAATATAAGTGTTATTGGTGTTGGGGCGCCTGGGTGGCTCACTCAGTCACGATCTCATGGTTCTTGGGTTCGAGGCCCACGTTGGACTTTGTGCTGACAGCTCGGAGCCTGGAGCCTGCCTTGGATTCTGTGTCTCCCTCCCTCTCTCTGCACTTTCCCCACTTGTGCTCAGTTTCTGTCAAAAATAAATAAACAAAAAAAAAATATTTTAAAAAAAGTGTTGTTAGTGTCATGGGGGAAATAGAAGAAGCAACAATTAACTTCCAGTTATGAAATCTTGAATGGAAATGTATAATGGTCAGTACACTGAGATATTATAGTTTTGTCGGTATGTTTTTTAATATTCTGTAGTTTCTGGATTTTCCCAGTTCTGTTAGTGGAAATACTATACATCCAGGAATTCAGAATTCTGAATAAGGATGCATGAGAAGAAAAGGTTCATGTGAAGACTGTTGATGATTCAGGTCAAGTTTAGGAAATGTGTAAACATGGCAATGAATATAAAGGTAAGGCATCTTCCTAAGTTGGTTTTTTCCTTTTTTTTTTTTTTTAACTAAGTTTTGTTTTCTTGCAGTGTTCATAGTTGGGATCATGTAACTCAGGGCCTGGTAGAACTTGGCTTCATTTTAATGGATTCATATGGGCCAAAGAAAATTCTTGATGGAAAAGCTATTGAAACCAGCTCATGTCTTTCTAAAAAACCAACCCAGCTTTCATGTAAGCTGGGAGCTGATATCCTGTTGGAAACTTTTAAGGTGAGAGCCTAGATTGGCAGCCATTCCCTAATTCTGTGAAATTGCAAATGGGGCATGGCATTTCCCTGGGAGCTTGGAGGACCAGGAAATTTGAGTATGCAGCAGTTTCCAGGAACAGAGCTTGGGATAGTAATTGAAATGTGACAGATTCAGCTTGATGGAATATTTGCATTTACGTTCTTTATGTATATGAGTTTTTCATTTATTTTAATTTCCCCTTTTTCTGTTTCTTAGAAGTTTGAATGTAAATTATATTTTTATGATTTCCTCCTCTTCCTCCAGTAGTAAATCCATTTTTATCATTTTCTGTTTGGGGGGTTTTTTGAATGCTATTACCTTATACAAGAAGTAATCTTTAAGGTCACTATAGAACATCCAGCTTGAAGAATCATGCTTTTTGATTCATCATTTTTGAATTCAGAATAGTTCTATTTTTTAATTCATTACCATATAACAGCGATCATCTCAATCTTAATTTCTGAAATAGCTTTTAAAAATTCATTTCCTTTCAATTAAAACAAAAACTTGAATATATTATATCTGAGGCTAAACAACTTTGCTTTGCTAATGATTGCTCTACATCATCTTCTTGACATTGAATTGATGTAGCTACACGCCAGAAGTGTCTGCTGCAAATGTTATTTGGGGGCTAATTTAAATGTAAATGTAGTGTTCTGATCCAGAACAATGAAGTGATTGCATATAGTAATCCTTCAGAGTTGTGTGTTAGATGATAGACCCTTCTTAATAGTAATCTGATTAAAAGAATAAGAAGTTTTAATTTTTTTCATTTTTATGTTTGCCTTTTAAAGTTTATCAGAGAGAGAGAGTACGCACACTCAAGTGGGAGAGAGGAAGAGAGAGAATCCCAAGCAAGCTCCGCACTGTTCAGCATAGAGCCCCGTGCAGGTCTCAGATTCACAAAACTGTGAGATCATGACCTGAGCCAAAATCAAGAGTTGGATGCTTAACCAACTAAGCTACCCATACACCCCCAATATTGTTTTTAAATTAGTGTTTTTTAACTAGGGACGTTCCCTTTGGTTTTACACAGATGTTTGTCAAGGTTATCTGCAGAGCATATAATTTACTAATAATCTGTTGTTAGTCTGATTTGAAAGAAATAGTCAATTTGAATGAAAATTGAAAACAGTTCTTCTCTCTTAAGGTGACCCCTGTGCTTCCAGAAACCGAGGAAGGGTTTGGTGAAGATTTTTAAGATTTCCAGAAATTTTCATGGGCTTTTAAATTTTCAAATAAGTCATGCACACGGTCAGAAATATGGGTATTAGCATGTAATGGATACCTAAGTAGAATTAGTCCTGTTTGATGCTGAACCTAACGTGGAAATACTTTCATGTGAGCTCTCTTTTAGGCTAATAAACGTGGTAGTTTGCCCTGCTAATGCATCACCTGAGCACAGAGTGAGGCTAAAATTGAGTAATCCTATCCTTCCAGATGATTCACAGTATATTTGTCTTGGAAATAAACAGCCACGTTATACCTATATCCAAACTGTTCTTCATTCTCCCTGACATGAATTGATGCAGCTGTAAGCTGGAGGTCGTCATGGAATATTTTATTGCCTGTTCTTTTCTTTTTAGATCCATGAGATGATCAGACAAGAAATCCTGGAGCAAGTCCTCAACAGGGTTGTGACCAGAGCATCCTCTCCCATAAGTCATTTCTTAGGTATTGAGTTTTGAGAGGGTAGATCAAGTTCTAGGGAATATTATCATGTAAATGTCATACTGTTTTGGTCCTGGGAAAAAAAGTTCTTAATGCTATAGTAGTTCAGTGCAGTATCTTTGATCATGATGTGAGTGAGATATAGGCCTTCTATATTGCCTGTGATTGTCAAGAAGGAAAAGAGCACTGGGGGGCCTGGGGGGCTCAGTCGATTGAGTGTCCGACTTCAGCTCAGGTCACGATCTCATAGTTCGTGAGTTCAAGCCCCACGTTGGGCTTGTTGTTGTCACTGCAGAACCCACTTTGGATCCTCTGTCTCCCTCTCTGCCCCTCCCCATTCACACTCTCTGTCTCAAAAATAAATAAACCTTTTTTTTTCTTTTTTTTAAGGAAGGAAAGGAGCATATACCTAATGAGTGAAACTTCTGTCTTACATTAACTCTTTCTTTTGTTTTACTATTTCTCCAATGAGTGCTGCCCTGCTGCTGCAACTCCTTGACCTCCCATTCTCTTAACACTTGACATTCTGGCTTTAGTACCCCTCTCTTTGTATTTTACCTTTTTTTGTTGTTTTAATTTTAGAGTAGGAGAAAGAGAATTTCAGACAGCCTTCCCGCTCAGCATGGAGCCCAGCGCTGGGCTTGATTCCACCACCCTGGGATCATGACCTGAGCCAAAATCCAGAGCTGGACGCTCACCTGACTAATACATAATACAAATCCACTGGTCTTTTCTTAGCCACTGACTTTCCTAATTTCTCTATCATTCACAGTTTACAACTCCCCTGAAACTTTCTTATATAGGTCCTCTGATAACTAATAGTTTGCTTCTTACCCTGCATGTGATCAGTTCTTCTCTTCCTCCTTCAGTGATTCCTTTTCTTCTACCCTGAAGTATCAAGATTCTACAAAGTTCAGTACTTGAGACTTTATTCTACTTTTTTTCTTTCTTTATAGCTCTATTGAAGTACAATAATCTGTACATAAGGTATACAGTTTGATGACTTTTGACGTGTGTACACTGTGAAACAGTCAACATAATGATCACCCACAGATGTTTCCTGGTCTCTTTGTAATTCTTCCCTCCATCCCACTCTTCCTCCCCACATCCTGTCTCCATTCCTGTCTTCTTTCTGTCTATAAATTCAGTGCCATTTTTTAGTCTTATGTAAATGGACTCCTGTATACACTCCTTTTATTGCTTGGCTTCTTTCACTGGAGCATAATTCTTGTGAGAGTTTTGCATGTTTGTTGCATGTATCCGTAATGAGTCCCTTTTTATTGTTAGTACTACCTGGTGTGAATATCACCTCAATTTGTTTATTCGCTCACTTGTGGACAGGTTATGTAGGTTGTTTCCAGTTTGGGGCTTTTACGAATAAAGCTACTGTGAACATTCATTGTAAGTCTTTCTGAGGAAATATGCTTTCTTTTTCTTGGGAAAATACCTGGTAGTGGAATGGGTGCATCGTATGGGAGATCTGTGTTTAATAGTTTAAGAAACTGCCAGAAGGTTTTCCAAAGTGGTTGTACCATCTTATATTCCTGCCAGGAGTGTTGCTAGTTGCTCACATTATGACCAACACTTGGCATGGTTAGTCTTTCTTAATTTTAGTTGTTGGTACATGCTTGATAGGATCTCATTGTGGTTTTCATGTATATTTCCCCAGAGCCTAATGATATTGAATATTTGCCTTATTTGTCTGTTCAGATCTTTTGTCTGAGTCTTAAAATTGAGTCGTTTGCTGCCTTATTACTGAGTTGTAAAAGTCTTTATGTATTCTCAATACAAGTCCTTTGTCTGATATGTGTTTTGCAAATACTTTCTCCTAGTCTGCGGTTTGACTTAATTTTTTTCAACAGTGTTGAAGAGCAAGTATTTTTAATTTATCAGTTATCAATTTATCAGTTTCTTTTTATACTTCCTGCTTTTTGTGTCAGGTATTAAAGAATCTTCTTTGCCAAACCCAAGATCACTAAGATTCACTAAGATTTTTTCCTGTATTTTCTACTAGAAGCTTTACAGTTTTAGCTTTTTATACTTTAATCTGTGATCCATTTTTTTAAATCCTATATGATATGAGGTAACTTCTTTTACCCCTTTGGCTATCCATTTGATCCAGCATATTTTTTTAAAAAGGAGTATCTTTTCTAGAATACCTGGGTGGCTCAGTTGAAGCTCTGACTCTTGGTTTTGCCTCAGGTCATGACATTGAAGTTTGTGAGCTCTACTGACAGTACTGAGCCTGCTTGGGAGTCTCTCTTTCTCTCTCCCTCTCTTTCCCCCCTCTCTCCCCCTTTCTCTCCCCTCTCTCTACCCCTCCCTATTTGTGCTCTTGCTCTCGAGCTCTCTCTCAAAATAAAAAAAAAAATTTTTAAATAAAGATTATTTTTTCTTCATTAAATTAGCATGCTGTCTTTGCTGAAATCAACTAACCATATATATGTGGGTCTGTTTTAGGAATTTTCTCTTTCAGTGATCTGTTACAGACTTGATTGCTATACTTTTGTAAAAAGTCTTAAAATCAAATCGTGTAAATCCCTGCAACTTTGTTCTTTTCCAAAATATTCTTAGCTAATATAGGTCCCTTGCATGTCCAGGTAAATTTCAGAATTAGCTTGTCAATTTTTATAAAGAAGTTGTTCAGGTTTTGATTGAGATTGCCTTAAATCTATGGATCAGTTTAGGAGATGTTCTCTAGATGTTCTCTAGATTTCAATGTGAATTTTGCATATCTTTTGTCAGATTTATCCCTAAGTATTTCTTTTTGATGTTATTGTACATGGTATTTTTAAAATATTCAATTTCTGATTGTTAACTGCTAGCATGTAGAAATAAGTGGCTTTTTATATTGATCTTGTATCTTCCAACCTTGCTAAACCCACTTATTCTAATTGCTTTTTGGCAATTCCTTAGAATTTTCTAAATAGAAAACATGTCCTACAAATCAAAACATTCCTGATATATTTGCATCTTTTTTTTTCCTTCACTGGTTTAACTTAGGGGCTTGTCAGTTTTACTAATCTTTCAAAGAATGAGCTTCTGGTGTGAATTCTCTCTATTGTGTTTCTGTTTCCAATGTCACTGATTTCTGCTTCTTATTTCTTGGCTTTTGCTTACTTTGGATTTATTTTGCTCTTGTAAGTGGTTGAAAAAAATCAAAAGAATAATATGTCCTGTGAAAAATTTAGTCTTCAGAGTACATAGAGTATTACTGGAATATAGCCATGCTCAGTCATTTACATGTTGTCTGCCTTGCTTTTACACTATACTAGCAGAGGTGAACAGTCATTTAAACCATGTGGCCCATAAAACCTAAAATAGTTACTGTCTGGCCCTTTCTAGAGAAAGTGCCAACTTGTGTTCTGTTACGTTTACCTGGATGTTTATTTACATTGCTTTTTCTTCCTGGTGCTCCAAGTTTCCGTTTGTTTGTGTGAAGGGTTTTAACTACAATTTCTTTAATAAAACAGGGCTGTTCGGGTTATCTCAGTCTTCTGGGTGAACATTGGTAGTTTATGTTTTTCAAGCAATTTAACCGTTTCATCTGAGTTACCAAATTTATTGCCATAAAGTTGTTGAGAATAGCCTGTTAATTACTCTAGGTTCTATATCAATGTCCCTGTTCTTATTTGTGATAGCCATGATGTGTGTTGTTTTTTTCTTATCACCAAAGCAAGAGATTTATCAATTTTATTGATCTCAAAAAAACAGCTTTTGGTTTCACTGAATTTCTGTTTTTGTTTTTAGTTTCATTCATTTCTGCTCTTTTTTGTCTCCTTTCTACTGCTTAGTTTGGATTTAATCTGTGCTGTTTTTTGGCTAGAAGTTTAGGTCATTGAGGCGCCTAGGTGGCTTAGTTTGTTGAGTGTACATCTCTTGATTTTGGCTCAGGATCCCAGGATTGAGCCCCGTATTGGGCTCCACGGTGAGTGTGGAGCCTGCTTAAGATTCTCTTCTTTCTCTCCCTCCCCCTTTCTCCTGCTCCTCTCCCTCACTTGTATTCTTTCCTTTCTCTAAAAAAAAAAAAAAGAAACAGCTTAGGTCAGTAATTGAAACTTTTCATTATTTGAAGTTTCAGTTTTCAGTATTTGAAGTTTCAGTATTTGAAACTTTTTTAATCCAAGCATTAAACTAAATTCCCATCTATATTTTGTTTTAGCTATATCCCATAAATTTTGGTTTTTTTTTTAAACTTTTTTTTTAATGTTTTATTTATTTCTAGGAGAGAGAGAGAGAGAGACAGCGTGAGCAGGGGAGGGTCAGAGAGAGAGGGAGTCACAGACTGAAACAGGCTCCAGGCTCTGAGCTGGCAGTCAGCACAGAGCCCGACGTGGGGCTCGAACCCACGAACCGCGAGATCATGACCTAAGCGAAAGTCAGACGCTTAACCGACTAAGCCACCCAGGCGCCCCCATAAATTTTGTTTTAAATTTTCCTTCAGTTACAAATCCTTTTTAATTTCCCTTGTGATTTGTTCTTTAACCTCTGGGTTTATTATTATTTTTTTTTAACCTATGGGTTATTTAGAAGTGTGGTGTTCAGCTTTCAAATATTTGAAGATTTTCCAGATATTTTTCTGTTTTTGATTTCTAATTTGTGGTTATAATACTGCCTATGACATGAATTTTTTTAAATTAATTAAAGTAATCTCTGTGCCCAGCATGGGGCTCAATTCACAACCCCAAGACCAAGAATTGCCTACTTTTTCTCCCAAAAATAAACAAACATTTAAAAAAGAAAAGGCGGGGGTGCTTGGGTGGCTTAGTTGGTGAGTGTCTGACTTCAGCTCAAGTCCCACAGAGGGTGAGGACCAGCCCCACTTTGGGTGAGCCTTGCTTCGCTCTCTCTCTCTGCCTCCCTCTCTCCTGCCCCCCTAGGATTCTCTCTCTCTCTCCCTCTCTCCCTCCCCCCCACCGCCCCCCGCCTTTTGCTCACTTGTACCGTCTTTCTCTGTCAAAAAACAAAAAATTGCATGGTCTTCCAACTGAAACAGGCACCCC